CCCGTGCCTCGGTTTCCCCACTGGTAATTCCCAGCTGCCCTGGGGCACAGAGGGGCTGCCCTGGTGGGGTGCGGGCTCGTAGGGTCATCCAGCAGCTGACGGATGATCTGGGTACCTTGGGAGCATGGTCTGCACATCCCCCCCAGTCCCCTCGTCCACAGTGGATCCCACCTCTGGAACATGCTGGGTCCTGTACAATGGTACCCCCCTGCTGGGGCAGCACCTTGCAGCAGTGCCCGCCTAGAAGAGGCTGGATTTGGGAAGGAAGAAGAGCAGGATTCAGGCAGGGAGCAACACAAGATTAGGGCAGGGAATGGGGCAGGATTTGGGCAGGGAATGGGGCAGGATTTGGGCAGGCAGCAGAGCAGGATTGGGGGTGGAAGCAGGGCAGGATTGGGGCAGGATTCAAGCAGGATTCGGATGGGATTTGGGCAGGGTCAAACACCCATGCCACGTGGCCCCTCTGGCCACAGGCTCCTCGCTCCCAGCCCCATCCACTCTCCTGGTGCAGGCACAGCCCTGGCATCACGTTAATCCCCGTGTCCATGGGCAGCTTCCAGGGAAGCAATTTCACAGCCCGCAGGACGCGCGCTCTGCTCACCCACACGCATCCAGGCGGCACGAAACCATCCGCTGCCATTTAGCACACGGCTGTGCCCGGCGGCCTTGCAGCTCCCGGGAAACTGAGGCACCAGCACGGCTCCCCATGCTGCACCCCTGAGCCCGGATCCCCCCTGCCATGGGAACAGCCCATGGAGCAGGGCTGGGGCTGGTGCTACCCACTGGTGCCAGCCGGGAGCCTGGCACAGAGCTGGTACCCTCAGCATCCTCCCCTGGGATGCCACGGGATCCAGGTATCCTTCCCAGGGGTACCCAGATCATGCTCCACCGGGATGCAATAGGATTCAGGCATCCCCTCACCAAAAGCAGGGTTCAGAGAGCAGCACCCTTTATCCCCATCCCTGGAGACCTTCTCCCAGCACTGGAGCAGCCGCTCCGGTGATTAACAGATCAGTTAATTGTGAACGCCAGGCACGCCTCACTAATCCCTTCTCCTTCTGTATCTTCTAATGTGGCTTATTTAACCAAAAGGATTGATTCAGCCCCTTATTTCTGGTTTTACCATCTTGGGCTGAAACAGCAGCAAAAAAACCATAAATAGACGGAAAATAAACTAAAATCATCCATCATTTTCTGAGGCAATGAAATAAAAACAAGGACTGCATGAGGGAAAGGCCGAGCCCCAGCGCTGCTGCACACACACCACGCGTGTCAGCCTGATTAGGGACAAAAAATCAAGTTCCTCCATCAAAGCAAGCCCTGATGCAGAGCCAGGAACCACCAGCTCCCTCCATTTCCAGGGAAAATACTAATATAATTATTATAATGATAATATAAGTATTAGAAGTATTATAATGTAATTCTAATAATGCTATATATTATAATAATATATAGTAATAATAATATACTATTATTGTATATAGTATTAGTATTATATATGGAATTATACACAGAATTATATATAGAATTACATATACTGTATTTTTATACATAATTATATAGTCTATTTGGACCACAGAATATTAGAGTTATAATGATATATTGTAATAAAAAAAGAATAATAGACAAGCAAAGCAAGATCAAATTGACTGTTTAAACCAAATTCTCGTGCTTGGTGTTTTAAATGAGCTCTGAGTGGGGGTGGTGAGGCCCAGCCCACGCCAGCCAGGCATGTTCTGGTGGCATCCCAGCAAACCTGCTGTCCTGAGGGACAGGGAGTGACCTCAGCCCCTGGTGCCTGAGGGGAGCACCCCACCCTCTCTCCTGGCAGGGCCCCAGGTAGGGGATCCCTCCATTGGAACCCCGGATGCCAGCGCCGGGAGCGGTTGCCGGGGCAGTTGCCAGGTGCAGTTGCCCACGCCGGGAGCGGTGCCGGGCATCATGGGCACCGCTGGTCCCGCCGGCCGCAGGCGCGTGGCACCGGCCACGCCGAGCTCACAGCCACCGGCACGGCAGCGTTTACGTAACCGCGGGAGCGGCAGCGCGAGCGGGGCAGCCTATTTATATCCAAAATGCTCGGCGGTGTTACGAAACCAGAGCTCTGGCTCCGGAGAGGGGCCGTGCAGGAGCAGGGCCCGCGCACGAGGCAGCCCAGGGGATGCTCCATGGGGCGGGCAGGAACCCGGGCACGGGGTCCGCCTCTGCCCCCCACCGCAGTCCCGAAAAGCTGGCACAGCCCAGACCCCGCTGCCCCAGACCCCGCCACCACAGGGAGCAGGAGGATGCTGGGCACCAGCTGCCCTGCCACCCTCCTGCTCTCAGCCGGTCCATGGTGCCCAAATCACCCACGGGCACAGGTACACACAGACTGGGGAGACTGGAAAATCCCTCCTTTGCCATAGGAATTGTAGCAGGGGTGGCCGAGGGTGGACACAGGGAGCCTGGAAAATCCCTTTGCTGTAGGGATGGCAGCAGGGAAGGCCGAGGGTGGGCACGGGGCACGGGCAAGGAGCACACAACCACACGGGTATTTCGGAAAGATGAAGAGCCATGGGGTCCGACATGGTGGCCTGGCAGCAAGAACAGGGCCTGCACAGCCGGGACAGGAGCCTGGGAGCCCACGGGTACCCTGCCCAGCCAGGCGGGCAGTGCTGCTCCACTTACTGCGTTTGCCTACGCTGGAATTTTCCTTCGCTCCAGTAATTAAAACAAGCGGTGTTAACCCA